CTGTGTAAAATACAGGCAAAGGCTCCCACGGGAACGGGAACTGCTGCGGCAGTGTGGGAATTAGGTAAGGCTCCTGCAGGAGCAGGAACTGCTGTGGCAGTGTGGGAATTAGGTAAGACTCCTGCGGGAGCGGGAACTGCTGCAGCTGTGGGGAAATACAGAAAAGGCTCCTGCGGGAGTGGGCACTGCTCCGGCATTGTGGGAATTAGGTAAGGCGGGAGCGGGCACTGCTGCGGCAGTGTGGGAATTAGGTAAGGCTCCTGCGGGAGCGGGAACTGCAGCGGTAGTGTGGGAATTTAGATAAGGCTCCTGCGGGAGCTGCAGTGGCAGTGGGGAAATATGAAAAAAGCTCCTGCGGGAGCGGGCACTGCTGCGTCAGTGTGGGAATTTAGATAAGGCTCCTGCGGGAGCAGGAACTGCTGTGGCAGTGGGGAAATATGGAAAAGCTCCTGTGGGAGCGGGAACTGCTGCGGCAGTGTGGGATTGTGCTCATGCTAGCATCTGCTACGGGAGCTGGAGGCCACTGAACAGAAAAATGGTTATTAGTAGCATGAGGGAGCGGAAGAGATGTGGGCCTGTGTTACAAATGGAGGTAGCCTCACGTTTGCTTCAGCTGCTGTAGCTGTAGGCCATGGGAAGGGGGTGGGGTTGTGACATCCTGAAGAGCCTGTGTAGCCTGCACTGCTAGTGGAGGCAGTCTCAGGCTAGCGTCTGCTACGGGAGCTGGGGGCCGCTGAAAAAAAAAAAAAGGGGGTTAGAAGTAACAGGACGGAAATACTGAGATCTGAGGGCCTGTGTTGCAAGCGGAAGCAGCTTCACGCTTGCTTTGGCTGCTGTAGCTGTAGGCCGTGAGTAAGTGGAAGGGTTAGTGACATTTAGCGGGACAAGCGGAAATGCCTGGGTAGCCTGCAGTGTTGCAGACTTAGCAATTTGTTGCTAGATTTGGCAACATTAATACGTTTCCGTTGAAAACGCATCTTTTCCTCTTGTTTTGGCCTTCCATCCACGCTAAAACAAGGAGTCCAGGAAAACAGAGCTTTAAAAACGAGCTTTCCAGAGCGGATAAATTTGAAAATGCTGTTTTCACGTTGCAGAAACGGAAGCTTTTGAAAACGATGAAGCATGTTTAGTCGTGTAACGCATTGTACCAATAAACATGTTTATACCAGTAACGTTAATTTTGCAGTTATGTGCTATTCACTTTCACACTGTTGCTAAAGATATTTACTTTGCACGCTCTTCATATTACAGTCCTAAAAAAGATGACAGAAAATTTACTCACGATTGCTGTCCTGCGGCAAAACAGAGGGCAGTTGCGTTTTAGATCAATTCTGAGTGAGCGCGCCGTGGATGGTGAAATATTTCCATAAACTGCATGAAACTTATGTCTGTTCCGTCTGTATCATCTCGGTGAGGTTTTA